CCCCTTAGCCCTGACACAAGTGGTTCTTGTTACAAGGCAATTAGGAAGACCGCTTTATATCTACAGGGGCCACAATCAATCCACAAATGAAGTTCCTCGCAGGGCTTTAAATATTAAAGTGATAGAGTATTTGTGTAAGAAAGGAGTGTTCTTAAATTGCCACTGGGCTGCAGCGGGGACTCTCTTAAAATAATCTCACAGGACTTACACTTGTCTTTTTTTTTTTTTTTTTTTCATTTCAGAAGATTGGATGATTGTTGAGCTGCTGTGTGCTGGGATAGTAGAGTTTCAGACCAACTCAAACCATCAGTAACATTAGGTGTACACCACCTTTATCATCCACGGTCCTAAATTGTATCTTTTTTCATAAGGTCCTGACAGCTTTCATAATTCAGCAGTATTCTTGAGGATTAAGACACTGACTAACATGTTCACGATGTTCAAACATGTCGAAAATGAAGAGCTGAGGCGGGTCACACCTCTGTAGGTCTGGATCATAAATCAAACTAAATATTAAATAAAAGAGAAAATATAAAGTGTGTTCAGTTTGGTCCTTATTTCTCTTCTGCAATTAAATGGAGCTTCACACACAAGTTCATGGAACCATTCCATTCCATATCATTCATACAAAGCCCGAGAAGCAGTCCCACCTTTTTCCTTAAGCGAGCCCTTTTCTATCAATGAGTAAACTGACTGACATATTTTATGGATATTTCATGTTATATTCAATGCATACCAAATAACAATAGAGAACAACTGATAAACTGTACAATGACCCCGAACAATAAACAGAATAACTGCAGGAATGATTTGGATGAATGTTGAGCAGATTATTTCCTGTTAATATTGATCCGAGATGAGTTTTCCGGATACTTTTAGAAGTCTCTCTCTGTATTGTGTTTTTTTTTTATTTTTAACAATCATACATACTTAATAGGCTTTTTTTGTTGTTGAAAAGTTCAGCTTTTTCTTCTCATTCTCATTGAAAAAAGTGGTCAAAGTAGTTTGTGGTTACAAGGTAACAGGAAGACTACCAGAGATGCCAACCCCCAGGTTGGGAACTAGCAGTCTAGAAGTTGGTAGCCTTTACTATCAAAAATCTGTTTAGAACCACAAAACATTTTGGAGCCATATAATGCTAATTTCTCACCGCAGGTCAAACAAAAGACAGCAGACAAACCTGTCCATGCACTATTAAGCTCTATTAATAGTGCATTCTATTCTGTTAGAAGCCATAGCCAGCCTAGCTAGATAGACTTAACTTTTGCCACCATTGTTGCAGTTTGGCAAAATATACAGGAAAAGGAGCCAGGTCAGGACATAATGAATGATGCAGGTTTTAGTTGACAAAATGTTAAAACATTGTTTTTATTATTTGGCAGTAAATGGCTACACATTTTTATAGCTGGAGAATGTAAGAGTCACTTTAGGCCTGCAACAATGATAAATGAAAATGTTAAAAAATTAACCGATAGTCCATATAATTTTTTGTCAAACCAACAGGGATCTAGCCATCTCTTGTTGTCTCATGTTCCCCAGCAGCAGCAGCTTGTGAGAAGCTCTCATGGTTTCCACTGAGGCTTCTGCATGGAACACCAGACACATTTCCTGTAAAAGCACCTGAAAGAAGAGACCTCAAATCTCAGTGCGTGCCGATTACCTTTATCTCGCTGAGGAGGCAGATAATGTCGGGAGCAAATTAAACACTCATTCTGAATTCACTGATGACACTTTCACACTTTCAACAACAAAAGTGATTCCCCTTTTTAGCTAATTGGCCAAGCAAGCTGACAGCATCAAGCAGAATTCAGAGATGATACCTAAATATCCCCACCAGACATATTAACACATATAGCAGTCCCTCCAGGAAGTTGTGATGTTCACAACCCTAATTATTTTGGTTTATTTTATTCTGGAATCAACAATCAACTATTTTTCTTGGCCCTGATTGGTTTTCTTTTAGGTATAGTAGATTCCATTAAGAGCACTAGAACAAGCCAGAGGAACCTGATTTTTTCACAGATTATCTGTCCCATGTACTGCTGTCAAGATATAGTGAGAGTTTCAACAAATATGACAAGAAGTTATTTAGTTACCTACTGTAGCTTTAAGTGCTTAAAGAATTATGTTAAATTAGATTAAATGTGTATGGTTAGTGCTAATGTTAGCGTATCAACGTAGAAATCACAAATCCTTTACTTACTAGGCTCTCTCTTCTATTTTTGTTATGAATAATATAATAATGATTTTATAAGGAGTTCGGTCTAGA